TGAAGGCTTGACCAGTGAACAGAGGGTTCTACATTTCAAGTCCTCGTTAAGAAGCTCCCGGCTTCCAACTGCCGGCCCCAGCACATGGTCCTTTAAACAAATAGTGCAGCAGCAAACACAATAAACAGACAAACACAAGCTCAGCATGTGAGCAAGACAGGAGAAGTCATTCTTCCACTTTACTCTGCACCGATTAGGCTCAACTGGAGTACTGTGTCCAGCTCTGGGTGCCACATTTCATTGCTCCCGTTCGCCAAAAAAAAATTGCGGAGTGTATTTTGCGTACCTTTCGTTCGCCAAAAAAAAAATTGCGGAGTGTATTTTGCGTACCTTTTTCTGATAGATCACTGAAGTATAGACAAAGACTCAGTCTCACGGATGCAGTGTCACCTATCTGCCCTACTCCCTCATCTGCTCATATGTCTAATGCTGCCTTTAGCTGTATTGACCACAGCATCGCTTTGGAAGCTTCTGTTGAGCAACTTGCCTAACAGGACCCCTACATCCTCCTCAGAGACACTGCTTGTGTCCCTCATTCCAGGGGTGTGGCCTGCATGCTTTGGGACTGAGGTAGAGCCTTGCATTTGGCTCTGTGAAAACCTGTTCTGTTCACATGGGTCCAGCTTCCTAAGGGATCCAGATCGTTCTATGTCACTGCCCTGGCTCCAGCCTTATTTACCACGCTGCTTGCATTTTGTCACCTGCACATGTTACAAGCAGTGATTTAATGCTTTCTTCCACTTCACAAATAACAATAATTAAAAAAGTTAATTTTTGAGAACTTCTTTAGACCCTTAGCACCTTCTCTGAATCTTTTTCCATCCCACTGTCTGCTTTTTTAGACATTTCACTCAAAACTGGACAGAATACTCTGGATGTAGGCATTCCATGGATTTATATAGTAGCAGGATGGGATTTTCTGTTTTATTTTCTATCCCTTTCCTAATAATCCTTAATATACCGATAACCTTTGTAAATGCTGCTGCGCAAGGAGTAGAAGTTTTCAGAGAATTACCCATGGTGACTCCAACATCTTTTGCTAGCATAAAAGCTATTTTAGAACCCATCATTATATAAATATAGATGGGATTATCTTTTCCAAAGTACATTTCTTTGCACTTCTTTGGGCATGTCTACACTTGGAAATTATTTTGAAATAACTCCCAAAAGAATTATTTTGAAATAGCGTGTCCACACTACAGGGAATTCTTGAAATTAGTCCCAGGAAGCCTCCTTTAATATGGATGTGCTACCTCGACTTAGAACCCCAGGAAGCACTGGGGAGTAATTACTTTGAATGACTCTGAGGAGTAATTATTTAGAAATAGCAGCAGTGAAGCATCCACACTCACGCTATTTCAGAATAACTGTTATTCCTCATGGAAAGCAGGAGTTGTTATTTCAAAATAACCAGCCCGTTATTGTGAAGTAACAGGCTTGGTTGTGTGGATGCTCCACTTGTTATTTCGAAATAAGGAGAACGTAGGCCAGGGCTCAATGTTGAATTTCAGTTGCCATTTTGTTGCCTAGGAACTCAGAATTGTGAGATCCCTTTTTAGCTCTTTACAGTCTGCTTTGGCCTTAATATTCATGAATATTTTTTGTATCATCTGCAAACTTTGCCACTTCCCTGTTCACTTCCCTGTCTAGGGTATTTCCCCCCGCCCAGTACAGATCCATAGAGGGAATCCATTGGTCACCCCCTCCTTTGTGAGCTTCTATGAGCCATATACCACCTGCGGTCTGTCTGTGCCAGAGCTAAGAGCTCTTTAAAGTGGACAAGTGGGGCAGGTAGACAGAGATCCTGGAGGAACAGAACTTGGGCTCAGTAACTTTGTATATGATCAGCCAATCTCTTTCAGGGGTTTACCTTTAGCTCAGCCTTACAGGAAAACTTGTTTGTGCCCACAGTACTACGCTGTTGTGGCTATTAAATCTCCCCCTCATGAATCTGTTTTGTACCCTCCACCCTTCTATTGAATCCCACAAGAAAATCCCGCATCCAAGCCATTGTTCTCAAGTGCTTAGCTCCTAGTGCCACATGGTAACACTTTTGCACCAGCTGGCTCCAAAATCAGACATCATTATCTTGCAAGCAGGCAGTTGATGATGCGTGGACACAAGCCGTGGAAGGAAAGATACCATGGTGCTTGTGCTTTTCATTTGGAAATTCAGGTCCAAAGTCAACTTGACCGCATGTTTTGCTGGGGAAAGTCACTCACAAGCCCTAGACAGCACGGCACTGTGCCACAGCCTTGTGGCATTGGGGTGTGCTCTGGTCATTTCCCACAAGCTGAGCAGGGCTGGCACCAGGCAGAGGGAAAACCAAGATGCTGATGAGTCTCTCTGAGCTAGCACATTGAGGCAATGCAGCAGAGGGGCTGTAGCAGGGCAGAGAGCTGTTGCAGGTGCCCTTACAGAGGGGTTATAAAATGTAAGATCTTGCCCATCTGTGGCCATAGAGTGTCCCAGGGATTCTTCTCCCTCCCAGACAGAGAGGCCCTAGTCAGACTCCACACCCTTCCACACTCCAGGAGGTACCATAATATCCAGAATAGAAGCAGGAGCACAAAACAATAGGCATCTCTCTTAAGCTGCCTCAGCAGTAGGTAAAGTACAGTGTGGTGCAGATGAACTGTTCTGGCCCAGGTGGGATGGGGCTTAACTTCAGCTAGTCAAGGGATGTCCCACACTTGCACTACACCCCTCACATGCAATTTTGATGCCACCCAGGATGTGAATAGGTTGATTGTTTAAGAAGGAGGCACACTTGCACTACATCCCTCACATGCAGTTTTGATGCCACCCAGGATGCGAATAGGTTGATTGTTTAAGAAGGAGGCTTTCACACTGACAATTCAGTGACTGATGGATGGGGTCATCTCATTTCTTCGGAAGTGAAGTTGTAATTTCTCCCAGTTGTTGAACCTCCAGCCTTCCCTGAGAGTTCCAGCCTGCATTATCAGAGAGCTGCCTCATTTAATTGCTTCAGTGCCAGCCTGGTAGCCAACATGCCACCCTTGGGAGGTGGAAGTGGATACAACTGGAAGCAGAGGAGTAAGGCAAAGACAGCCAGGGATGCAGCAGCCAGTGTTGGCTGGAGAGTGGTGATGAAGGCAAGCTGGCTGCCTTAATGCCACAGGAGATTAGTGGATTTCTTTCTTGATATTGAAGTGATGGGCAGGATTCACCTATTTGCTCCGGTTGCTTTGCACTATTTTAGCCCCACTCAGCAGCCCTCCACCCATCTGGAGCCCTGAGATAGTCCAGAAGGAGGCAGGAGTAAGAAACCCACAGCTGTAGGGCCCTGGCTTGTTAGACAAAGGCTCATGGAGGGGAGGATTCAGGAATTAGCTGGAGCATGTCAGCACCCCACAGGCCCAGGTGAGGCCTATAAGAGGGGAAAGTGAAGCCAGAGGGGAAGCTGCTTGCTGAGAATGTTGGGGGCTGAGGGCAATTGCTGTGGGAGAACAGCTTGGGATCTGTTTGGACACTGAGTAGAGGGGACCTGCAGTGCAGCCTGTTCTGACTCTGGCAAGGTGCTACTTAGTTTGGAAGGAGCTGGGCAGAGGGGACCTGCAACGCAGCCTGTTCTGACTCTGGCATGGTGCTACTTAGTTTGGAAGGAGCTGGGTTGAAGGCTGCAGGTGAGTCTCAGATGTTTGAAGCAGTCTCATGGAAATGAGTCTTTTAAAGATTTCACGTGTTGCCACTTGCACTATGTCCTTCCCCCAGGGAGTGTGAGTCTGCTCTGTCTCCTAGGCACCCTTCCCTGCTGAGCCACCTCTCTGGCCAGTTTGGCTAAAGCCCCTGCAGTCAGGTTCCCTGGGCCCTGCTTAGTACATGCTTAGGGCTTAGCCCCTTCCTGCCTGTACTGCAGCTGGAAGACAAGAGGCAGCTGGGCTATGTCAGTAGCCAGCAGCAGCTTGAAGGTGTTAGCTGCCTTTCTACACTGTGTGGGTAGGAAGGGACAAGCTGCTTCCAGGCATTGAGGAGCAGAGGGAAGGAGGAGATGACCTCTGGAAAAACATGGGCCAGTTCATCCCTCTCTCAACTCCCACCTCCATTCTGCTGGAAGCTCCTTCCATCCGTTCCCTCCTGCACAGTGTTGATCGGCTGCTGCTTGCCATGCTCTGCCATAAACCCCAACAGAAATCAGAGGAGGGTTCCTGTAACCCTGCATACCTCCTCCCCCACATGTTGCCTTGAGAAGATGCAGCACCAGATGTCAGGAGAGATGAGTCCATCCCAGGGACTGTCAGGCAAGGAGGGTGGAGAGCACTGAACAGGGTGAGGTTGGTCGGTCACCCCATCCTGATGTGAGAGAGACGTAGGGAATATGTGTGTGTCATCTCTCCCTGTGCAAACCTTAAACATAAGGTAAATAAAAAGACTCCAGCTGTGCAGTTTTTATTTTCAACAGGAGTGCAGTCAGTCTGAAGTTAATTTGAAAATTTGTATTGTATAATTCTGATGGATTCCTATTCAACTCACTT